TGCCATCCGAAGAGAAAGCTCATCATGCACACATTTGATGGCTGAGGTCTGCAACAATATAGAACATCTGGAAGCTTTGAGTTTGGGGTTTGGGCTCTAGGATGTGGAAATGTGATTCATTAGCTTGCCTGGCCTGAAAGGACGAACAAACTGCAGCTGGGGGCTACTGTAGTAGTGACAATACCACTGGTAACGGTAGTGAAAAGGCAGGAACTTTGCATTGCACTGTAACCACGTAGCGGTAAAATCTTACTGTAGCGTGTGCATCCCTACGTCCCGCTTCTCTGCAACCACAGTTCTAGGACTGCGCGCACGAGCTTGAAGCTATTCTGTGATACTAGGGCAACAGGGGCCAGCAGCGGGGGAAAAAACAGCAACAGCAGTAGCATAAGGCTAGTAACGCTGTGAGGGGCAAGGGGTAGCGGGGGAAGGGGGGGGAACTGGGGAACTCAATGCGTCACTGCCCAAAACCACAGAGATCTATAGTATTCATGCATCTGTTGGGAGGCGAGGGACTCGCACCCGTGACCAATGACCCTGCAAAGATTGGTTTTCGGTTGAGGATGGGGTTCCACGCCTCCGACGCCGCTGAGTCCTTGTTCCAGTAAACAACCCCCACTCAAGCTGAGTCCTCACAGGACTCGCTTTCGTGACTGTCTTTTCGCCAGTGTGGCTTCTTGGTGCGCTTGTCCCGTTTCGACCAGCTGGGAGCCGCAAAACGAACAATATACTGTGGCTGTTGACGGCACGGGACGATTTTCGGTAGAAGGCTCAGAAATGTGTCGGGGAGACAGACTATACACTGCTCCGTTTCACAAGAGCCTGATCAACCAAGCACGATTAGCCCCGACACTGGTAGGGCCATGCCAGCAAATGATTGCTTCCTTCTGTTGCGTCATGGCCTTTGCGAGAAGCCATCTCTTCCACTACTAGCTGCACTAGTTTTTGCACTGGCAAAACCGAACTCTGTCCCTGGAGTCAAAAGCAGTACTGCATGCAGCAATGTCATGTTCGGTGTAAGTATTCCGCTGGTCATGGGCCATGCTTGCATGCTTCTGCGAGACTTGAAGATTTCTCAAAGTGTTGCACCGGCTCCTGTTGGCACGAACAAATGTCGTCACTGCTGCGAGTTAGCTAGGTCTCCAAAGTTGGCGAAGATGCTGCTGCTACCGCAAACTCCTGGCGGGTAGGATTTTGTGAAACTGTTGTGAAAGGACAGGTTTTGATGCTTGCGGGACTGCACTGACTGCTCCAAGTCCAGGTGTTTGGCGGCATGGCCTGCCGTGCGTAACCTGGCTTGCAAGCGAGGCGCCGCAAACACATACACGATGAGGAGCAACAAAATCAGCGCCCAGAACAGCGCCTTCATTGAAGCCACTAAGCACTCATCTGCCAGTTGCAGCATGCAGTGGATCCGGAGATCCAGTATCCGGTCTGTGCATCTCAGTTCATGCAAGGCCTATCCCGTTCGACTGGCAGCTCTCACTGCCCAAGTGCCTTCAAGGTGTGAATGATGGAGGAGATCAGCGTTCGGAAGGCCATCACGAACCGGAAGACGCGCATCAGTTGTATCTGGGTGAAGTTGCATTGAAGTACAGAAGAAGTCTAAATGCTCCTCGTGAGGTTCGCAGTGTGCCCTTTTCAGTGACAAGGGTTGAAGGTTGAGCCGGTTCTGTTGCCTTGAGCTTGGGGAGACTCGAGTTCGGGGGAGAAAGAAGCCTCTGAGCATTCGGGGTCAGCTCCTCTGGACCTAGTCGGATAGAAAAGGATGTGGGAAGGACAAGGCACTGTCTTCACGATCCGCGTTATGCGTATGATCCGGAAGACCTTCAAGCTGGAGATCCCTGCGATCTTTTCCATATTGCCGTTCACAGCTTCGAGGGCTGTCACAATGTCCACCATGATCTCCCAAAGGGATGTCGCCTCAGGTGCACACACCACGCAAAGACCTTTCACTCTACCGATACCTTCACTAGACTGGACTGGACAAAATTGGATATGCCATCCTTCCGGGGTTCCACAATGAACACGTCCAGCAGGCTCCACATCCAGTCCTCCAGGCAGAACAGCCGTACGCCATTAGCCACAAAGCGCAAGGCCAACTCGATGGTGAAGAGAGCAGTGAAGCAGTACTGCATCACCTGGATTTGCATCGGCCGAATTTCCATGGAGCCGATGCTCATCTGCACGTCCACGCCAATGAAAACAGCATTCAGCAGCACCACTGTTGCAAAGAACCAGTCAAAAAGGGGATGGCCGACAAGCCACTGCCAGCAGTTCTCCGGGCTTTTCATATGGTCCAGGCTTGTTCCCTTGCAGCTGGCGAACCGTCTCCTGGAGTTGATCCCCTGTGCGTGGTCGGCACTTTCCCGGAGCTTTAAGTCCGCCTGCGAGAACCTCCGAAAAGACTGAGGCACGACTCGTTCGAGACAGTCCCATGAAAGAAAACGACAAAATCAGAGGTACAAAGGTGCTGAGAGCTGGTGTCAAAACTGCACCGAGATACGTGGTGAACAGCTTGGGTGTGAAGGTACTTCGAGGGGTAAATGAAAGCCGCGAGCTGCGTTCCGAGAACTGCACACTGGGACGCTTGTGGAAAGCCTCAGTGGATGTGAGGGTGAGTCGGATGCCTTCCCGATGGATTGCAACTCGCTACGGCTAAGGCGCACCTGATTCCGCGGCAAGTCCATGCGAAAACCTACCGGCACATGATCGCGTACTTAAGGCAGAAGGTAAGAACTCTTCTTGGCCGAGCTGCGTGCTCCGTTGGATAGTGGTGCTCGTCTTCATCCTGCTCTTCTGGCAGCAAGTCGGCACTCGTCGCTTTGGTCGGCAAGGGCATCACCCAGCCCCCTTCATCTGAGTGGTTCGACATGCCTCGGCTGTCCGAACCGCCACTTCAGCAGCAGCAGCAACAGCAGCAGCAACAGCAGCACACGCACGGCCCTCTTTGATTCATCTCTGCACTAGCTACCGAGATACAATCACAACCAAAGGAAAGGGCCGGAAGGCAGGACAACCGTTTCAGGCAAACCAAGCTGCGTTCCATATCCAGAGTCTGTTGAGAAGATACTCGGGAAGGGCTCCTGCGGCTCAACCGGGCTGCTAGCTGTTGGGTCCCAGAACCAACTAAGTAACTAACACCATGATAGTTCGGCCATGTTTATATCAGTAGACCCGTTAGCTACAAGTCAGATGAGAGTCTGCAGGGCAGACTTGTGCTCGCGGCTGTCGCGCACACACCTCGAGATGAGGGAAAAGGCTAAGGGTACTTGGCCAATCCAGCATGGAACAGAGTCGTTTTTCGAGTCACGCCATGGCACTTCAACAGGATCTGGCTCAAGACGTCATCCTGAACCTCAAGTTTTCGGATGAGCTCCTCCCGGGGCAAATGCCGACAGAGAGGGTGAGTTCACAACCATTGAGAGAATGCTTCGTCACTTTGTACATCCTGTTGTCATGGCGTTTCGACACTGCAGGTCCCGATGATGCTGTGCCAATAGTGCTGGTAGCTGGTCATCTTGGCTGGGGCGAGATCGTGGGCTGTCCTGCGGCGGGCATAGAAGACCTACTTATGAGTCCTAAATGCAAAGACCACATTCTTCGTGCAAAACTCACGTGGAGATGTCGTTCGGCCTGCGCGAACTGGACCCGAACGGCGCTGCGTGGAGAACAGATGGGCTCCTACATCTGAGGCTCGGTCTACACTGATCATCTCACTCGCCTGAGCACTCCAACGAACTCGAAACTGTTGTGGATTCGTGTATAACAGACGATACCGCTTCATACCCACTCAGCCTTTGCACAAGAACTCCGAAGGTCCTCATCCTCCGGGTGTGGGATCTCCACATGCTTGGCTTGCGCGGCCATGGTCGAAGCAAAAGCATTCACGTCCCTGAGGATTGTCACAGTTGCTAAGCCGTCGCCCAAAGCTATGCTTGAGGGCACGTTTTGCAGGCTGCTTGATGTGCAGAAGCTGCAGTATCTAAGCAACTGATGGATCGTCTTTCAGAGATGCTCGTACGTGCTGAGATTGATATGGATGCTCAGCAGAGGTTGTTGCGAAGCAAAGGAGTCCAACTCACATATTTGAGCCAGCGTGGGCATGTGATGACAAGTTGTTGGGATCAAGGGCTGCCGGCATCTGCCTGCGCAGCTGGAGACGATAAAATATCAAGCACTGCCCACATGAAGACATGATCGCCTCATGGTGCTCGGTGCCGTGCGATACACGACTGCCACGGATACCACGGCTAGCTGACAGCAGCCTTGCTTTCGAAGCAGGACAAATTGCGCAGTCGAAGATGCTGCGCAGCAAACATGTACATGTAACAAACAGACAGGCAAAACTAGAATAAATCAGAACTTGCCAGCACATGTCACAATGCGTTCTGCTGCTTTAGCTTCATGCTGCAACATGACTGTGCGTATTTAGAAGGCAGTGCAGAGTATCCAGAAGATGCGACAACATTGTAGCAACCGTACGAGCACAGTGCATGATAAGAAACAAACTTAAAGAAAGCAACGAGTCGCAAACACACTTCGAAAGGAAAAGAGACCCAGCAAGCCGGGTCTGGGTAAAATCAAGGCAAGGACAAGGAAGAGAGACTTGCTTAGTGCCAATAGTTCAAGCCTTGAAGCTGCAACCTGAACTTGAGAGATGACTGCACAAGACTCGCTGGGTCTCAAGCGTCGGCGCAGCCGCCATAATGGGACCGGAGGGCGCTGGTTGCACAAGACTCATCTCGAGGCTAATTGTCAAGAGGCTTCTTGACCACAGATTCGCCAACTGGCCATAATGGGCAAATGGGCTGTGGTTTGGGCTGAACACAAGTAGAACGGCTCAATCATGGTGGCGAAGCCTTGAGAGCCACGGGACAGTCTAGTTCAAGAAGAGGTGGCAGGATCCGGCTTTGGTCTGTTGTGCTCGGCTCGGCCAATACAACAACTGTATCCTGTGCGAAGCGCAAGCAGCTTCCGTATCGACTGCACAGTCTTGCCTTGAGCTGGGCATCTTGTTCCACGAAATCAGCAGCTTGGAACAAGCTCTTGACCTAGCAGCGGCTTAGAGGATCATGCCCGCTCTGCTACTCATGGTGCAAGATGCAGCACATCTATCAATCTAAGACTGCGTGAAAGGAAGATGCAATGGTCCCACTAGGCAGGTGAGCTTCATCAAACACACCGAATGCCAGCATAATGCCAGTGCCACAGAACACCCACAGAACACTCACACGGCAGCAAGAGCAAGGTCAAGGCCTCCTCGGCTGAAGCGTCTGAGGCGCCTGCACAGTGAAAGCTGGCAGCACAGCTTCCCCGTTTAGACAGAACCATCTGGCCAACTCGTGCGAGAACCTATGGTCGAGGAGTGAGGTGCAGGATGCCTTCACAAAACCATACTTGTAGCTGAAGCCTGCTCTCGCTGCACCCTTCTCTCCGAGTCCGCCGTCTAAACGGCCTCCCTCCACCTGGCTCCGTGCGGCGTGGTGCAGAGCGGCCGCAGCTTGGCCGCTGGCACTGACCGCCTGGTGTGGGAGCTCGAACGGGCGGTGGTGGCATTACTCATTGTCATATCATCTCTGGTGACTCTACCGGAGGAGCCAAAACATCGCACGGGCTCGATACTTTGCAGAGGCCTCTTGCAACAATTCCAACAAAGGCTCGACGTCCTGGTGCAGTCGCGCACATGTCTGCTGTCTCAGCCTCTTTCCGCTCAAGCCATGCGCCTCGGCCGCAATTCGATGTCGCTCATGCTCAGAGAGTCCTGTCCGTGAATGCGCCGGATGTAGCAAGGATCTGCTTCGTGAAACATTCCCGAAGCCATGGGGCTATGGATCTCAAGCTCTAATTCCGGGCATAGGCGGCCTGGCCTGGGGCATCTCGTTTCCCGAAGGCCACGAGGAGTTCCTGCAGCGAAGCTTTGCAGTGACAGCGTAGGCCAACGCCCTTATCTGACAGAACAGCTGCGGTGACACCTGCAGCAAGAAACGGGCGAGGAGCCTCCAACAAGGCTAAACCACGAGAGTCAGCGCGCTTTGCCTGCTCACATCCACGAAAGGGCGGACGGCTACAGCACGCAAAGCTTGGAATTGCTTCTGCCCTTCCAGCGGTTGACAACAAAGCTGTCTCGAGAGACTACTGCATTCGTTGGCGCAATTTGAGAAACTGATTACCACGAACTTGAGGCCAGACCAGGCCATGCATGCCTCTTCAAGTAGTGCCGCGGTGCCACGCAGCCGGCTTTCGAATGCCATGGCATTTAAGGCTTGGGGGAGGTGCTATGTTGAAGCAGATGCCCAGGACCTTGCATCCAACCATCAACCCAACAGACTCTGGTTAGCCCAAGATTATCAATGTTAGTCAACTGCCAGGCTGTCGGCATTCGGAAACGATCGGAAACGTGCCGCTATGGATGTCGTAGCAACCGCCGCCTCGCAGACTAGCCCCTTGTCGTCAGTTCTGGAGCTGTAAGAAGTAAGAAGCTAGTGCACTCGACTGAAAGCGGCAACGACGAGGCAGGGACGCGGCACCCAACTCCAAACCCTGGCTACTTCACAGCCTGGCCCACGAACCTGAGCACCAAGCTGTCTCTGCGGCCCTCGTAATCTCAAATGGCGCAGAGCCTGGCAGCAGAGTGCATGACACCTTTGAGGGTATGCCATCATGTTCCATGGGGGCCCAGCATCAACAGGTGGTGAAACGAAACAAACAGCATGCTGAGGCATGAATATAAGGAGGGGAAGGAAGTCAGATTAAGCGAAAGCTCCGGTGGCACCTTTGCGGCTTGTTTATGGCGGAACCCGGTGAAAAGAGAATTAGTCTTGGAAGGTCTTCTCTCCTGACTCGTCAGTCACTGTCACAAACGCAACGCAGCATGTCTGCACGAAGATTTGAATCAAGAATGAGTTCACCGTTCGGGTCCCTCCTTGCTGGGACCCGCCCATGCAGCGCCGTGCCGAGAGAAGAAGCCGCGCCTTGGGATTCTGGGCCACACCGAGACCGAGACTTCAGAGGCAAACTGCCCGCAGGCCGCCGCAGGCCCCGGCCCTGCTGCGGATGGCTCGACCGGCGGTGCCACGGGCCAGAAAAACAGAACCTCGGCTCGGGGTAAAACTCTCAGCATGTCCCATGCGACTGAGACGTGGTCACACGGCCACACCCGCCAAACCATCCTACAGAGAGGGTTCAGTCAGTTCAGTCTGCTAGTCCAAGGTACGATTTCATACTGTATGCTGTCATGGATGCATGGAGTGGGTCTCTGCAACTGCCCGTCAGATAAGGATGCTTCAGAATCAAGGATCAGCCTCCGCTGGCACGAGAAAATTGCCTTGGACCCCTGCAATGCCGACAATAAAACAGCACATCGACGCCAGTAGGACGAAGGTCACAGCCTCAGCCAGCGGGGTTGCACGTGCGCCCGGCTGCGCGTTAATGACTGGAAGGTGGACCACTCGATTAGTCCTACGGGCGTTCTCACACAACGGTCTCAGCTGGCAGGTACATCCTTGTGAGACATTGCACTAGAGTCACTAGTGCACTGTCCACGGAGTCCACGGCATCGCCGGCGTGTCCAAGCTCCGCGCTTTACCGCGCATTCGCGCTTGAGCGAAGTAAGCGCTGAAGCCAAAGCCTGCTGGGATCTGGCACCCTGCTGCCAAGGGTTTAGCACTGGCCCCTTATCGCCGATGTTGGATCCTACTGGATCCTACTGACACATGGCATGGAAGAAGCAATGACTTGAGAGAGATGAAGCAAAAGGCTTCTAACAGAATGTGAAGCTTGCTAAACTGGCTTCCGGCTCTTTGCTGTGCATGCAGCTTGGCATTTTTTTGCCGCTCCAACAGCCGAGTCCAAAGCTAGAATCGGTTGGGCAGCCGCTTGTTCCTGAGCCTTGGCTCATAAGGCTCAATCTGTACTGCTGGACTACGCGGCTGCCCAGAGGAGCAAGGTCCTCAAGGTCGTTCGACCGATAGGATCCGATAGGCGCACAAGGGGCGCCTCTCCCATCGGAACGCCCTCCAAACAACCATACTCAGGATGACCCCCTTAATTGCTTCGAAGTGCTTTGGATCATGCTTTCTACCTGTTGGGAGCGCCTGCAGGCCCAAGTACAGGGAATTGGCCCTGTAGCCCCTGGCAACCATGTGATGAGCATGAAATGCTTTAAGTGCGCCAGAGCACTGCCGACCCAACACTGCAGGCAAGCTCAAGAGAGCATGGGTGGCATGACCAGTGCACTGCACAGGCCATGTGGGTGAAAACTGTCGACTTCGGACATTTCCCAGCTCAAGTGGCGCAGTACTTGTTAAGAGTTGTACATGCGAAACTGCAAGGCTCATGTCCGATGGCTCTGCTGGTGAAGAACCCATCAGTCGACCGCGGACGCGTGTGAAGGCCTTCACAAGCTCAACTTCTAGGCCGGCATCGGGAGTCTCATTGTACAATGACTCGTGTGGTGCAGGCTAGAAAGCAGTGCAGGGAGTGCACACCTGGAGCAACTAGACAAAACTTCCTCCAGCTTGTCACCACTGCGGCTCTGCCTTAAAAGCCTGGAGGAGCATGATCCTGCACGGAGTGCATATGAGTGCATGCTCGGGCTTGCGGCTTGGACATCTCAAAAGGCTCCCGGTTGTCACTTGCACTGGCAAAGAACCTGGCATCTCATGCCGGGAGCCTCCGTGAAACTGATGCGCGTTGGTGGTATCCTTGCCTGGACGGCTCGTGCGTACCAGAACGACCATAGCTCGTAGCCGGTCGCACATGGCGAGCACGAGCACTAAGGAGGCAAGCGGTGGATATTTTCTGCATCATAGATAGGTAGATAGCTAGATGGATAGACAGGTCAATAGGTAGAATGGCAGATAGATAGATAGATAGATAGATAGATAGACAGATAGATAGATAGATAGATAGATAGAGACATAGATAGAAAAGTCGAAAGTCAGACAAACGTATTGATGGCATTTGATGGCCGGATGTGCAGATGGGCAGATGGCCAGATGGATAGATGATGGTAGATGGATGGATAGATAGAAAGATAGAGAGACTAGCTTTGTCTGAAATTCCGTCAGGGCAGCAAACGCGAACCCGAAGACTGAGTTCTGCTCCGGAGGTGGAGGAGGAGGTGGTGGTGCTTTCCAGAAACCTGCGACTTTGCAACGTTGCTCTCTCAAGCATGAATTACAACGTTGGTATGCATAAGTTGCTCCTCCAGAAGTCCCTCTATGCTGGCTCGGGTTACCCACTTGGCATGCGATGCCCTGCGTTCGAACAAACCGCTCGCCGACGCGTTGTCTTTCCATCGCTACCGCCAGCGGCTTGTGGGTTGTTTCTTGTGTCCGAGTGATGCACTATCTGCGGCAAGTACAACAACATGAGTCTGAGTCCATCCCAATCGCTTGTTCTGCCTCTAACCGTCTGTAAGTGGAATTCTTGTGCCTCTTAGGTGATCGAAAGCATGTTTCGCCAACAACGGCAGACGTCCATAAGCGAAAGAGTATCTAGGTGGTGGCGAAGCCCAGTGTGTTGCACCCTCATCTCTCCCAATTCCCGCCACACACCGCAGCCAAGTCTTCTTGTGATTGCTTGTCTTGTGAAACCTTCGCATGGCATGCCCGGTGCTGAAATCCGCACTACTTTTCTGGCTGCGCAGCTGCAGGGTTGAGGGAAGCACCCCTCAGATCTTCACTCGACGGCCAGCGGCCAGAGCTTCCAGATGCGCGCGTCACGTGCCTGTGGACTCTGTCGGCGCACCATCGGACATCATCGGACCAAGTGCGCATTCGAGACGACGTCCTCCACGCACGGCTTCCGCTGCCGGACTGCATCCAAATGCATCCAAGCCATCTTGGCGTCTGCCCGTAGTGGGCAACGGCTGCATCATCCACTCGGAGCTTGCATGATGTCGCGTGAGTAGGCACAGACCTCACCTGTCGACTGCGCCAGTTTGGATGCACGAGGTCTGAGGTCTCCCAGTTCCAGCGATCTTGTTCTCTGTATCCGACTACCAGATCCTGTGCGAACTTGGAGTACAGCACTGACTATAGCCGAACTTTTCAAAGAGGAACGGGTCGGCAGCCCGCACGATTCGTGTCATAGCAGGATCCTGGAAGTGCTCTGCACCTTAGTTTCAAGGTCACGGGAAAGTGGCCCATGGCTTCATACCTTGCGATTCACGATGGCATACTGCGAGCTACCACAGAGCAGGTCACAGGGCTTGTGTCGGCGGATCTGCAGCGACGGTGCCGCCCAGCGTGCAACGTTCCAGGCACGTTCGAAGAAAAGTCCCTGAGCTCAGAGCGGCTCCAAAGGACAGTTCCGGATGGAGCACCTTCAACAGATCTTGCGCTAGAGCTGCGTGCCTCTCCACTTTTGTTTGCAGCGGCTGCGTTGAACAAGTCCCAATCGATCGCACCCGGAAGGATCAGCTGCTCCTTGGAAAGCGTGCGTTCAATCAGCCACTTCTGTAATTACGGCAGCAGAGAAATAAGCAGCAAGTCTCGGGGAATGGCTGCTTTGGAGCATGGAGAATCAAGACAGCATCTTCAAGACATGGCTCGTAAGCAAGTAAGCACTCCCGCAGGTCATCCATCAACGTCTCCTGAAAGATCCAGCAGTGCCTGGGCGCTAGTTGCAAAGGATAAACTTGAAACAGCTGGCACAAACAGACAGGAGACGTGTTTTGTGCCAGAGCCATTTGCTCCGTTCTGTGCCGAAGAAGGTACACACATGGCGCTGACACTTGCAAATACCAAGCACCCAAGCGCGTAGCGGTAATCTCGTTTCAAGTCTACACACTGTCGGGTAGCCATCACACTAGGTCACTCTCACATCTTTCAATGCGCTAGGCCAGAAAACTCGGCATCCCTGAGCGCAGAGAGGGGCACCCCCGTCTGATCAAAGAATTCTTGAGATTCCACGCAACGTGGGTGCGCTGAAACACAAGTGCGTGGGGTGGCAACTTCTGCCGAGGTTCGCTAGCTTGCGCGGGTCAGCGGCCGCAAGGTCCTGTCGGATACGATCCTCGGATTCAGCCGAGGATTGAAAGCCGAAGATGCTGGCTACTCTTCGATCTGCTCTCCATGCTTCGACGCTTGACATCTTGGTTCCTATGGTACTGCACACGAAAGGCTGAACAACTACAATGCGCCATGCCTGACGGAGCCCTTTCCACGAGATGATCCCTCTGTAGGTCGATGCCAGGCCACAGTGCTGTTGCACCTCTCTGGTGTTGCCCCTTCATACACTTTCTTGCCCTCGGCTTGCCTCTGGTGCCACAAGTGGCATACCGGCGCGATTCTTAGTTGCTGCGATGGCTTGCACAAACACTACAGTTTGTGCATCTGGTCAGCAAGCAACCACCAGTAAATACATTGCGGCCGAAGCCACATCGATTGCCAGAAATAGAAGCCGATGACTCCAATCCCATCCGGGGATCGAGTGTTCAGTACAAAGTCCTGAAACTCCTGCAGCATCAGACTCACAAGACTGCGACAGCGTACAAAGACATGTGAAGACAGGATGTGGAGAGATGGCGAGGGCATGTTTGAAGCAACTCCTGGCCTGCTGCGTCGTGTGGCGTTCGAGATATCCTCAGCACTCAAGACTTCAAGATGCACCCACTTCAGTACTTTCTGCTTTCGGAAGCTACATTCCTCTGGGCAGCTGACGTCCCGGAAAAATGTTGGAATTCACCAAGAGTCATCGGCGTCTTAAATTCATCATCATCATCATCAGCACCACCATCGCAATCACTACCCCGGCTGCATTCCTGTCAGTCTGCACGGCATCACCCGACGCGCTTCCAGAACTTCCGCAACAGCGGGCTCACTCGATCCACTACAACAAGACTGTGAGGTCCGAAATACTCTCGATCAAGAACTGTCCATTGAACGACATGAGCATCATTGTCGCCATCATCGTAGTTCGGGAGACGGTTGCCCATTTCGACGACGGATTTTTCCACAAGCACAAGCGCATGATCCTGTTTGTGATCTGCGTTGTCATGTGGGAAGGCTGATGGAAGACTATTATAACGAAGAGAGCATTCAGCATCGTCGATCATCCGTCAAGCCAGCCCACTAAAAGAGCAATTCAAAGTCAGCGAAGTTCTGCAACCAGGCGGCCCATTGGCTGAAACGGATTCGGACCAAAAGTGGGTCGGCGGAAGTCATATGCCTCCCACAAGCGGCAAAGATTACAAGAGCTCAGACTTCGAGTTTGCTGCAAGCAAGGGGCTGTGAGCTTCGGCATGTCTGGTGGATACATGTATGCAATTTTGTACTACAACTTATTCACATATCTAGTTTACACTACCAGTAGTCTCATTCATCTGCATATCAGAGCAGTTCACTTGTACCGGCTTTGTGTGGAAATCCATGTCAGCATTGATCCATGCATACAAATGGGGAAGCCGAAGCCGTTCGATACTACATGAGGGTGCACCATCTGTGTATGCACACGATGCTGTGCCAACTAGCCAGTTGATTAACAAACGAATACAAACAACTAACCGAGTAAGCAAAACTTCCTGCCATGTTAGCAGTTAGCAGATATGAAGGCGTCTCCTCAACGAGTATAATATCCATGCACAGACGGGTCAACAACAGGTGCAATTTCGCAACACAGGGCTTTGGTCAAGCTGTGCCTTTGAGGGGCAATGGAGGAGGACCAGTAGTGGCTCCATACGTTCTGGTGCAGCTGCACTGCAGGCTGCACCGCTGCCAGTTCTAGAACGAGGCTGAGTGCGAGAGAGATTCAGGACATCTGAGGAGAAGGCTCTGCGAACACTCTGGAGGGGTTCGTTGAGCAATGCTTCGGAATCAAAATGCTGCCCGGAGCAAAGTGCTGGAAGCTTGCCCGTCATTCTCTCCGGTGCCCGTCGTGGCTCTGAGGCTTGACTGTTTCCTGAAAGAAGCTGTGTGACATGCTTTTTCGATCGCCCGAGGCCCAGGAGTGCCCCTGAGGAGCAATCTTCGAATGATTTGGGCCGGCCTTGGTCGGGCACTCGTTGGCCCAGGCCACGTACCAGGCACAGGGATTCCTCATCAACACCTGGAGAATCAACAGCTCCAGACAGAGCGAGAGAGAGAGAGAGAACGCTTCAAGCCAAGGCACTGCTACGAAGTGGAACTTTGTGGCGTTCGGAGGCAAGATATTGTCGTCGTCGATATATTGGAGATGTGCCTTTGCTTCGCAGCAGTGGCCATGAACCCCACCGGTTGGGAATCTAGTGGTCGGGGTCCTCCGTGTACACCTGGCTGAGCCTGCTACGACAAACTCTTCTGTAGGCAGTTCATGCATTGCAATGAGCGTCCGCTTAAACAAAGATCGAGTGGTTGGTTCTAGAGCCCAGGCAAGAGGCTCGATTTTTGAAAACTGCTTTGAGCAGCACGCGAGAGAAGGTTCCTCCGGCCTGACGGCGCTGTGATCTCAGTCAGCTTACTGACTTGCAAAGAAAACTCTGCCTCTCGAACGTGTTGCATTTGGTGTGAATACTGTTCTCACCACGATGACTGGTGTGAGTGAGTTTGCGAAGAGTTACAGACAAAATACCCGCAGCAAGGGGTTGACTCAATTTGCAGTTGCCCGTGCTTGTTGGCCTTGCTGTTGTGCTTCAAGATGAACGTCGGCGTGTTGCCGTCAACCCACTGAATTTTTGGATCTCCTGTAAAGTGACAGGTCACATCTGTCTTCTCAGATTCTCACGGGCTTGACATGGCTTGGCCAAACTGACACAAGATAAACCAAGCCCAGCAGCTTAGCACATGTCCTGCTTTCCAAAGCTAACATTGCAGAGCCTGCGCGCATGATTCACACACCGTCGCCGAAATCGGAGAGCCGTCCTGGAAAGACATTTTGTGGTCTCCGGCTGCCTTCCAGGATCTCAGCCTCCAGGACGGACGGCTCTCACACACATTTTCAACAAGGAGCCAGACACCAGCCCCCCCATGAAGACATCCGAAAGGCAGACGCTTGAGCTCACAGTTGCAGTGTCTGGTTGGTCTACTGACTGCATGTACTGACATTTTAAATTGACACAGCACACACACACACACACACACCTACCTCGGAAAAGCGCGCCTCCCCCCAACGTGATAGCAGTGCCACGGAAGCTCCCACAAGAAACCCGAGAGCAATCGGCGGCCAGCGCAGACGCCAGAAGGAGCGCCCGGCTGGCGACGACGAGACCATGCGTGGAGACCATGGGGGAACAAGATGCAATGCTTGGGCCGCTGCACAAAGACAGCTTTTCGCCAGCACATACACACAGGAATTGGTTCGCGGCTCGCCGTTCGGATGATGCTACGGCATTCGGCCCAAACCTGCCTGCTTTCGGCTTAGACCGATCTTTGCGACGGAAGGGCTCTGGATTCCGGACCTGAGACCCAAGGAGGCTGAGGCCCAAGCCTGAGCTCTTCTCGATCTCTGACGGGTGCCGGGCATCTGGGCTCGGCTCGATACCTGTCTCGCCAAGGTCCTTCGGCGTCTCTGCGCAATGTCTGCTGGCCACTGGCCTTTTCAAAACATGTCTGAGAATGTGGGCATTGGCAAAATGCGTCAGTGCTTGCTGTTCACGCGTCGCGCTCTTCCATTTACAAGTCTTGAAGTACTGCGGTCACCGGTCAGCACGACTGGGCCGGCCCAAAACCTGATTCACCTGTTTGCGCAGGGCAGCGACGCGTGCTTGCGAACCCGTGGCTTTGCTTTTTCGCTTGAAGACCCTTAATTGGAAACCTGTGGGTGGGTTCATAACCCCATGAACGGAGTTTGAAACGACAAAGTCTGCACCGGTTCTAGCAATCTCTGGCACATGTCTTGCGGCATCCCAGAAGGATCCATGTGAGTTGAGTGAGGCGCAGATTCAGATGAGACATCTGTGTCGGTAAGTAGTTTTGCCCATAACTAGCTAATTAGCACAGGGAGACTGTCGGACTTGATGCGGGAATAGGGCCGATTTTTTGGCCGAAGTCTGCGCAAGGGTCCTCCGACCACTTTAGCAGCGTGTCTGCCACCCCAAGCTCCTCGCAGCACTGAGAAGTGCGAGGGAAAAAGATCCTCTAGCCGTGGAGCGGGAGCCACAGCTTTTTTCAAGACTTGTCGGGCTCAAAGGTGCCTGCAGGATCACAGGGGCTTCCCAGGACTTCTCGCCGGTGGACATGTTCCAGAAGAAAGGCCTCTGAGGCCAAGAAGTGAATTGCTGCGTTTGAGCCACAGTCGAGAGACTTTCCTGCCTGGCTTTCGGCTTCTTCTCACGGAAGACGACCCACTCGCCCATCTCGGCGATGCTCTGAAGCCTTGAACCAGGCATCTCGAAAACTGCAAGCATTTACACACAAAGCGTGAGCTGCAAAAACACTAGACATGTTGAAACACTTTCAAGCTTAGATCCTCAGGGCACCCATAAAGTATCCAGCACGAGCACGACGGATTCCATGCATACTGCAAGCACGAGCACTCCGGTCCATTCTCTAATGAAAAAGTGAAATCTTGTCTCAATTGGGGCCAGGCCCAACGAACTCGCCTTCGCGCGCCCCAGGGACAACCTCCATCCACAGATGCCCCCGCTGGATGATGCAGCGTTGTAAGGGGATTCACGCCGAGAGCTGGTCCAGCGGTGCCTCCGGAAAATCAGACTCGGCGCTGGGCACCTGGCTGTCACCTTGGACGGCTCTGCATGGTCCGCATATGGCTGTGTGTGTGGAGTCGTGGATAGGCGATGCCGAAAGCTGAGGGAGTGGGCTGGGCCAAAAGACTGGATAGGACCATCCTCGCTGCAGCACAGCAAAAAAGGCAGATGAAAGCTGTGCGGTTTCATGACACGTCATGCAGCCTCCCCAGTGTTGTGGCGACTTGGCATTCAGGTATGTGCTAGTCACGTTTGAGCACGGCTGATCATGAGGACCCTAAGCTGTCCTAGGATTGCTCCATATGGTGTTTTTTCATGCCAGGCCTGGATCCTGAAAGTGGTCGAGCTGTTCGCCATGTTCCGGATATCCGAAGACCGCCTCGGCCTCTCATTGCGTCGCAGAGAGAAGTAGCCAAGAGCCTCTTGAATCCTGGCCTCCATGTAGAGGTCCGGCGCTTCGTTGGGATACTTGGAGACCTCAAGCTGAGGTACCTGCGATATGCTGTTCTTGTTGCCTCTCACGACTCCAAACCTTGTCGATCTAGAATTCACTTACCACCACGGTTTCCTTGCCAACCAATCCAGCCAGGGCACAAATGCCGGCGCTTCGGCATTGATGGCTGATCCTTCAAGCACCAAGAACTTTGCAGATCAGACATCAACAGATTTCAGCCAAAAAGTCGTGTCCGCTGCCCTCAGCACCGCGCGGCTTGGCTTGAGCTCTGCTGCGAAGGGAGTGAACTCCTTGGCGTGGGCACTCAGGCCCGTCCTGTGAAAGCTGTAACTGTGACGAAACTACGGCGAATTGATGCTCCGATGCCAAGGACAGCAAGCGGTGGACCTCCCGTTGATCTCCTCCTGGCCGCATGTCGGCTCAGCTTGTGCATTTTAAAAATGTCAAGTGTATCGTGATTTATGGCTGGGGTGCAGATGCTACGATACTGAAAGGAATGCCGAGGCGGCCCCGGTGCCTTCACAATGTCACTCTTTTTGATCCACACCTTTCCTTTGCCTGGCAGCACAAAGGACTGGTCGCACGAGCTTGCGGTTTTGTGCAGGGAACGTGTCTGCTCATACAGAAGGCTTCCAGCATCGAAGTGGCCTGATGCCAATGCGAAGGAGTGTCTGATAGGATGATGGAGAAAACCCAGACCAGCATGTTGCCGCTTCGGGGCTTTTCCGGGGAACATGGCACCCCTGGAAGACTGCACAGGACATTCGAGCACAACAATCACCGCAAATTCGACAAAACTCGTCCCAAAGACTGTTGTAGCAGCAACCTCACTTGCTTGTCCGACATAACAGAGGTTGGCACGCACCGTGAAACCTAACAGGGTGACGACGTTTCCGAATTGGGCTTCAGCTGTGAGCACTGGCCGGTTGTCCACACCGGAGAAAGTGCACTAGACAACATGTTGCGGGCACCGTCACCATCTGAAGGCTGCACGCCCTCTGATTTGCCTTAGTACAGTAGTTGCAGAGTCCGAGAGTTCGGATTGTTTGATTTGTCGTGCAGTGACGGCACTAGACGGAGACTCTCAGCTGCCTTAAAGAAATGGTCGTTCTGTAGTTTCCACAACTCAGCTGGTGGCCTCTGATCTGCAAAACTGCACTGTTGCCGCCTGGCCACACACACACAGACACGCAGATTCGCACATGCCTGATCTGCAAATGCGAAGCTACAGGCACCAGGCTTCGAAAAAGAACAAAGCTGACAGTTTGGCTCTTATCATTATCAATGATCAACACAAGCTGACATATCTGTTCAAAACACGACGGAGGAAACCCCGGGAAGTCCACAATCCGGCCTTTGTCCGGCGGAAGGCCGGCGCTTTTGCCCTTTCCTGCTCGATTTCACTGCATCGTCCCGTGCACACGAACCTGATTAAACTAGTAACCGTTTCATCTCCTACGGCTCAGCACTGCTCTGCCTTGGCCTTTCTCCGTGCTCTTGGCCGTTGCCGGGCCTCCCGAAGGCCCTAGACTGGCTGAACACCTCTCTCAAGCACCACCCGTGGTGCTGGCAGCAATCTGGAGAGCGAATCCACGACAAATCGTGCGATGTTGCCAAGTGCGCCAGTTGACTTCACTCAGTCTGCCCCTCAGTTGCCCCGCCTCCTTCAGAAGGCACATTCTCCTCCTTGCGAGACTTGCCTCAGTGGCGGTTGGTTGATAGACACCATATGTAGTTCATAAGAGGCAGAGCATGGGCCACGAAGGAGGCTGCCAACGAAATCTCAGTCACGCTCCGTGTTGTTTGCTTTGTGCCTGGCAGACAGCACGTCGCCGTGTTGAGTGCTCCGTGATCACAGACGACACCCCGACCCCTCGTAATGTTGTTAGTGTTATTTTGACTCTGATCATGATGGCTACAACTGTTGTCATGATTTTTGTTATAAGCATGGTGCTTCAAAGCAATTATCTATGTATGTGGTGCGCTTTTCGTGTTGAAAAGTCTGCGCGACTTGCAAAATACTAACCGCCGATGGAAAGGTGGGCACACTGGACTGAAATGCCGTTTCTCACACAGCTCAGAATCGACTTCGTTGCACGGCGCAGGGTCAAGCATACAACCAAAGGCCGACACTTCACTGCGTGCTGTGATTGCAACCAGATATCATTCCTTGCAAACTTTCGGAGAAGCAATCACGAGGTCAGTACTACCAGCGCTCTGCGGCAGCGGCGACAAACCAACGAAGATTGCACAGAACTGACATAACGGGAAGAGAAGCATTGGAAGAGTGAGGCCAAGAACGACGATTCCAGATGCTCAGCATTTCACAGACAGCTTCAATCCATCACTCACCCCATCACTCTCTCGGTCAGTTATATTTTGCACTCGCACTAGAGTCACTAGACACAAAACCAATCAAGAGCATGAAGACAGAGAAGGAGACCTCGTAAAACTCTCTTCGGCCTCCAATACTTGTCCCTTTTCGTTGAGGACGCGACTTATCACGCGCGAGCTACAACCACACAGTTGAGAAACCTATGCCTTACAGTAAGCCTTATGCTACCCAGATTGAGTAAAAGCACGGAAGATGCATTCTGCAGAAAAAGTGCATAGTGATTAAACCTGCAGCCACACCAACCACGTCTGAATCCTTACGGTGTGGTTCAGGAGGCAAGTAAGGAGAGCCTGTTTGCAGTATCCAGTATCTGGCGGGCAGTCTACAAAAGAACATGTTGCCTTCTTCCGCCCAGTCGACGCGGCTTTCTGCACCTGAGTTCTCCCAGCCCCCCACATCGGGGCGGAGCTGATCTAGATCTCTAGAACTGAGGGGAAGGTATCGGCGGGACATGCAGTTACAGTGATTGGCCGTCACCTTGGAGCTCCCGTTCACAATGTCCAGGATGCGGCTAATCCGCTCGTGTGCCTTCACCACTGCCAGGATCTGCTCTGCTACTGGCAGGTGCTACAAATCCTGTCGAGAGCCACTCCACCAGATGCTCCGGGGGAATCCAGGCTACAGTCGATGTCGCAGCTGGCCTGCGGTGCATCGCCCACCTCCTCCTCACGAAGCTCCAAAGCTGGAGCTGGCTGGGGCTTGGGGTTTGAATCAGATTCAGCTCCGGCCATGCCTCGCCTCGGCCTCGGCTTCTGAAGGCGTTGGACCGTCTGGAGGTGGCCTTAGATTCTCGGCGGCGCTGGGGCGTTGGGTCCAAGTATGGTTCAGTATGCTTTATTTCGGTGTGCAGGGGCAGCTGCTACGAGTACCCAAGCGTGGTTCTTTTACATCTTCCGGTCTTGGGCGCGGGCTCTGTTGACTTCATTGGAGTACTCAGCCTATCCCACACCTCCCAGCGAATGCGAGCAGCTCACAGAAACAGGCAAGCTTGACCTCAAGAAGCAAGGGGGCGGGACGACTTGACATTAATCCATATAAACCCTTAGACCCTCCAAGCTCGAGCTCTGACGAGCCTGGGCCCCCCCAGCCTGGCATGGTTGCGGGCTCACAGGACATGACGACTTAAAGCAAGACAGGTCAGGAACATGCGAGATCACAGGAAACCAACAAATCCTCCTGATGCTCAGCAGCATGAGTTCAGTCGTTTGAAGCACAAGCGAGTCAGCCGCCACAGCCACGCATGCGCACGGTCAGGACCTGTAGCTGCAGCTTGCTCGAGCATCGTTGATTCAGCGAGTTTGTCAATACCGCGAAAATATAAGAAAGAGAAAGAGAGAAAGAGAGAGAGAGAGAGAGAGAAGAAGAGAGATAGAGCTAGAGAGTTATCAGAGCAAATCTAGGAACCCTACCGCGGCACCGGTGGCTTCGCAGGGCACAGGGCGCGTAGGCTCGAGCCACAATCACAATGCACATCGGTCAGCAAAAGGCTGATCATGAAGCGGTGTGCGCAGATCAGACTTAGACCAGCCTCGTCCAGCTACAAAGTTAACTCTCATCGAGCCCGATTCCCGATGCGCCGCGTGGGGCGCCCCGCAGGCCTTGCTTCTTCAGCTCAGGCGGTGGAACTTCCGCAGGGAGCGGGACAATGGCCTGAAACGGTCTCACAGCACGGTCGTCTCTTCGGCAACAGACACCTGGCTGTTAGACATCGCACCCATCCGCGGCCGCCACTCGGCCTGCTGGAGCTGTTGCACCAGCGTTGCCTCGCGCCCCCGTAGACGGGCCACCTGCGCAAATGCTTTCAACATTGCCACCGTGTGAGGGACTCCAGGAAGCTTGTCCTGGAGACGCTCACAGGCACGCATCAGCCTTTGACCGCCACTTTTCCTTCTGGTCCGATTCTAGTCGATGGTCTCCGATGCAGCTTGGCTGCATGGTCAAGTGCCTGAGAGTCTCTGGCTTTGGCATAGGGCCGAAACTCCTATAGAAGTTGCGGCAAGAGCCACCCACACACGGTCCATGCAGTCACGATTGGAAACATCGACACATTGACATGTCGAAGCGAGTTCATCAGCCAGTCGTGCAACCCAACTTTCACTTGGATGTAGCAAGACTCAACTCCGTTGTAATGTTAGTTTGACCGTAGAAGTGGATCAAGCACAGGCAGGGCTGACAAAATGCCAACAGCCCCGTGTCAGTATGTCGGTCTTCCAAAGGGCCAGTGAATGCATTGGAATGATGGTCCACTTCAACAACTCGTACCGCCTTTGCATGGGCCATTTTGCTAGCCGAGCTGATCGGCGAAAAATCGAAGACAAAGGTGCACGTTGGACCATCATCAAAGCAGTTCTGCTAATTGCTACTTTGCAAGAACAAGATTTTTCAAACAGAGTGTTCCTAGCCGCGTGGGATGTCAAGCGGCCTCACGCCGAGTGAAACCTCACACTCCCCCACTTCACTCTTAAAGAGATGTGGACAAGCTTGCGTGTTTAAAAAGAGCCTTCTTGATCCTTCTTGGATGACCACGCAGAAAACGCAGCGGCATTTTCGACAGCGGAGATCGGAAACCTTACATCCCACTCTTTTTATTCTCAACCCAAATATTATGCATCAAATTCACAGAACCACTCTTCGGGGCTTCGTGTGGCAGAACAGCCGCTGTCTTCGCTGGGCATCACTATGCCGCGCTGCTGATTGGCACATACGGTGGGATAAGCTCGATGGGCGGTGGCTCGACATAAACCTTGGCATTGGGCGAATACAGGACCCCCAAAACAGGCTGTGGGCAAAGCACTGGGAACAGCTGCACAACGCAGCCTCTTCTCACATGGATCCTCCACATGGTGTCTGAGAACCCTCAAACCATAATCTCTGAAGAGCAGAAGCGCACAACTGAGACCGGCTCTCGTGAGTCCAAAGATCTTTGCCCACCTCGTGTTCCCACGGGCCCCAGCTACTGCAGCTGCGTCGCACAGGCCAGCAGATGCACGGATGTCTGTATCTGCGTAAAAACAATGAACCTTTTTGTGGATGCCTCTGCTTTGTATACGTACTCACTGTAAAGAATGCAAACAGAAGGATGGGAAAATGGAAAGCTCAATCCAAACAAGGACGGATGGACGCCCGGCAGGCAGGCGGCCGGGAGTCAGGCAGAAACTCTCACACCCATGATCTGCTCGTTAGGAGCACGACCCAGAACTTGCCGGTGCCGAGCCTGAAGAGCCACCAGACTTGGAGCTCTTCCGGGAGCCGGATGCCTCCGGTATGCGGAGAGTCGACGTCAATGTGGAAAGGGGAAACATCAAGCGACGCCCACTGGCTCAGCCCGTCCCTGCCCTGCACATCCCTGCACCTTCGCTGTCTGTGGTCTCAGCTGCGAAGAGGAGTAGGACTGCAAAGAGTTGGAGTTCTGCTGGCCTCTGCTGCCTGAGCTTCGGGGCATGGCTCTGTAGCATGGACACTGGAGCATAGACGTCACAGGAAAGAGTGGCGACGGGACTCGAGGCTTCAGAACTCCAACCCCTGAGCTTCTTGCTCGACTCGGTGGGTTCGGCAGTATGCGGCCTTGGCGCTTTGCTGACTGCGCTTCACGGCCCGGTGCCTCGATGTCTCTACGAATTCTGAGCCCGGGCAGGCCGCTCATTACGTGCTCATTACCAACACCAGTGTCCGTTCCCTTGGAAGCCATTATGGTTTGTGGACCTCAGATCTCAAGCTTACGTTTTGTTGCGAGTGCAATACGAACCGTGCCAAACAAAAAAAAACAAACATCGCGTCTCTGCCAATTGCTGGGCCCATTGCCGCGAGCCGTCGTAGTAGCTGCCACCGGTCCCCTAGGGGCTTCAGTCTTGTTACAAGTCCCACGCTGGGGAAGCTCGCTGCAGCGACATAGTCAATTGACCCAAGCCCTGGTCGAAGGAACTGCAGGAAGCCGCCACAATCTAGTCTTGGCTCTTGGGACGTTGCCCGCTGCTGCCGCACGATGGAGGCGCCGAAGCGAAAGGGCCTAAGTTCAACACAGTCAAAAGGCCTCGCATTGTTGGCGGTCATCGGGGCCACAACGAGAAGCGTGGGCTTGCAGAGTTTGCCCGAGAAGCGGTGGCTACCTGCACCGGCATCACCAGCAACTTGTTTCTCGTCCTTGTGGAATCGTGTCTTAGGTCTTAGGTGGCTTCGGCAGTGTGAGTTGCATTCAACCGATGTTTTCGAAGCTTGAACACTTAGAGCTGGGAGGCTTCTCAGCTGTGATTATCCTTGCAATCTTTACGACTGTCATTCTGAATCTTCTCGTTACTGCTCTCAGTGTTGTCTCCGCTGTTCACATTCATACCACTCTCATCGTTCGCTGTTATTTATCAAACTATATCATACTCCTTCGCTGCCCACTCTCGCTATTGACGTTTATCTATGCTGCGTTAATCGTTCTCCGTGTCCCCGGACCGCAGGCCTCTCGAGCCAAGGGCTTCTCCCCACCGGGGTCACCGACCCCCGGCCTGTCCCAAAAAAGCGATCAGGTGCTGGGTTTCACGGGCATTTAGGGCTTCGGGATTTTTCGGGTGTATGCTTGCGGGTTTCCCCGATTCCATCCGACTATATTGACTATTCCGACCATTGGTGTCATCAGATTCGCACGTTACATCCTCCTCAAATTACGTATCGAACCAGGCCTTCGATTCGAGCCGCAACACACTGACACGCCGACTCTTTATTCTTCTGCGCTCCCAAAAGCGCCCCCTCACCGCGGGGCTTTCCAGCGTCCGGCGTTGGTGAGACCCGCACCACTCAATGCAAAGCTCTGTGGATTTGGATGGAAGTGGCTTTGGGCTTTGAGCGTTTGGGGGTACCGCTCCATTGCAGCGCAATGATCTTCTCTTGTCACCTGCGTGGTGTTCGCTTCTAAGGTGACTCTTGCCTCTCGGAGGTGGAGCGAAAGCGGCCTTTCCAGCTTTCCCTTCCCTACGGCCTTCGTTGCCCACCTCCCTCGGCTTGAGCTACGAGCCTAGCGATGAAACCATGGAACTGACCGTCCTTCCATCGCTGCGTGGCCTCTCTCTCTACATAGCGCCCTACAGGCTTCGATGCCAACCTGACTGAGAATCCAAACAGGAAGGGTGAATACTCGCCACTGCAGATCGTCGATGAATCTACGCATAACTTGCCCGATGTACAGCAGCAAGCCACTAGACAGTGTGAGCGCAGTGCCAAAGTCCAACGTCCCTTGTGTTGTTCGATGCCACGCGCAGGATGCAAGTCTACCGGTGCCGGAGCAATCCTGATTCAGGATCTTTTAGGAGTGTCCTGTATGAGTCCAAGCTCACTTGTTACAAGTATTCGCAGCAGCACACGGCAGAAGACGCACGACCGTGTATCGCAATCATTTGGAGCACAGCTTGCCAAAACCGTGTGAGAAGCATGCTTTGGGGAATTTCATGTTGCTAAGGCCTACGAGCCGCTGCTCTGACCGGGTGCTGCTGCCAAGGCTTCAAGCATAGCATTAGTTTGACGAGTTTCTGCTACCAGTAGCTTCTAAAGGCAATGCCTTCAAATGGCTTTTGAGACATCTGGCTAGTGACCGCCTAAGTAGGTTTCCGCATCCGTGGTGGGCACCTGGACGTAATTTGCCAGAATGCCCTCCAGTCGGAGAAAGCTCTCTTTGCGGTCGCAAAACCCTCTCAGTGGTTGCCGAGCCCCCTGCAACCGTCAGCACAGGCATGATGAGAATTTCTTCAGCATGCCCATCAGAGAGACCAGTCGCCTTCCCTTGCCCTTGCCGCCCTTTTTGGCGATGACTTGCTCTCGGAACTCGTCAATGGACCTTACAGAGCCGAAGAGGGTCAGAAAACGATTGGGAAACAAAAGCTGAGCTTCAAGCTCTCCTTCCCTTCGCTTCTTCATGGGAGGCGTCATGAAGTCAGGCCTGGTGGCTCGAAACAGGCCATACAAAAGCCCTGCGGAACATCCCTACAAAGACGGCACTTCGCAAATGCATCAAAAATTAAAAAAAAGCACCGGAATTCCTCTGAGAATGCGCCAACTTCCAGCCTCTTCGTGCCGAGCTCCTTCTCGCCATGCGCGTTGACGCAATTGCCGAGGAACATGCAGCTTCCCGTCTGCAGGCAGCAGTCATCAGAGACATTGCCATCAATGAAACGGATGAACCGGGATGACGAATCTTGGCTGGTTCTCATGGGCAGCGAAAGAATCCGCGACTGTCTGAGCGCGAGGCCGTCCAGAACTTGCAGATTCTTGTCTTCACGCGCCCACAGACCTCAGTTGGCAGCATGAGAAGCAATCGGATCCACATCCAGCCTCCTTCTCACTCGAACACAACACGTTAGGGCTGAGACCACAAGCTCCACTGTTCCCAGCTCTTTCTCTCCGTGAGCATAGGGACCTCGGTTCGGCAAACAAACTCAAACCTACGGAAAACTCACCGATCATAAACAATGATAAACACCGGTTGCAGCTGAAGTACACTAATGTAGAAGCGACAGGTGCTTCCCAAGACACCCCTCCGACGACACCCTAGCAGGCGTAGCCACTTAGTCCAGAACAAGCTCTTCCGAGCACGCAATCTTGACCATTCTTCCACTTGTTGCACAGCTCCTGGCAGGCAGGCGGGGAAGAAACCCACCCAGGAATCGTCAGATCTTTTTCAGGATTTGGACAGGACAACTGTCTGTTGCTTTTGAGGGTCCAGATTGCTCAGAGCTTGCAAATCCAAGAAACATACCGTCACTATCACAAAACACACGCATGGATGCTTGTATACATACTTGTGCAGCTTGCAGGACATCTTGCGGTGAGTTCCCCAAAACCGAAGAAGAGAGTGAAGGCTTTGCGTCACAAAGACCCAAGTGTAGTCAGAGAAACGACCTTGCATGAGCACTGCTATGTATATACATACACAGAAAGCGGTCTATTGATAAACTTATGTATTTCTCTATCTATGTATGCTCACCCCCCCATGCGCCCGCGTTTTGAATTTGTGTGTTTGAGGGAGGAGCAACGCAGAGTCATGGTCCAGACGCTTGAACAACGTCGGGCGGGGAGGGGGGGGGGGCTCTTTAGATTGATGATATGGCTCACCTCTCCCATTGACACAGCGAAATGTGAGGCTATGTAGGATCCCTGGTGTAGTTTCCAGCACGTCTTGGGAGAGGGGGATACGCTGCTCATGTCGCCATCAGCATCTGTTAAGCGAGTCTTCTAACAAGTTCAAGTCAAGCAAAAGGCAGATAGCATTCAAGTAAGTGGAAATAAGAGACAAGACTACTTATAACTGAAAGAGATTTCGAGAAAGCCATAGATTCGCTTGCCATTCTCGCGAGATTATGACTTGATTGATTGCGCAACCTGGATTGGCATGTCCTCACAACTTGCTCTTTTCAATAAGCACACGTACATACATAGCATGCATGCATACATGCATGCATACATAAGTACAGACAGACAAAGTACGTACACTCAGACTTTTGTTCGAGACACTCGCATGCGGCGATATGCCGGTTCCCACATACATGCATGAATAGCACGGAAGCAACTGATAGACAGTCAAGCAGGTGGGTACATAGATCGACAAGTTGCTGTTGATTACCTGTGTACTGTATGCTTATGCATATACGTGCTGTATTGTTTGGTGACTTACTGTTAGATGCTTTATGTCATTTGGACTTCCAACTCCGGCTTTCTTCTCTGTACTTCTTTGTTTCGCAAAGCTCCTTCTTCTTCTTCAGTCGGACATCTGGGGCGCTGTCTTCCACCTGGCTGTCTTCACTGACATGGCGTGGTGCTGCAGCAGACCATGCGGCTTCCATGCCTTTCTGTGCTTCAGGCTTCCATGCATCGCGGCGTGCGATCTTAACGCGCATTGCCAGGGTCAACAGGCCGATCGGAGTGCCTTCTGCTGCTCGGCCAAGGCATTCGTTTCCTTCACCTGCAGCCGCGCTGCCCACGGACGATCTTACGAAGCTTCAAGGCCATCTCCCTGCAGTGCCTCCACCCGCGGGAGGTCCGGCGAGGCCGGATGAAGTTCCTGCAGCTTTCAGCTTCAGGAGTCCCACAATTTCATCAACACCCATGATTCTTTAGGCCAACAGAAACTGCCGAGATTTCCAGAACAACCAATCTCCACTCGAGATGAAGATCGTTGTGTGCATTGGGATGTTCAAACAGGAATCTTTACTCAAACGCACGCAGCGCTGTTTCCTCGTCAATGGCTCGACTACTTTTATGCAGCAAGCACGGCTTGCCAAGCCCATCCAAGCCCTGAAGGCCCGAAGCCCGGAGCCTCCAGGCTGTGAGCGTAGGTGCACTCTTGCCCTCGCCAGCACTGGTCCGTCTTGTAGTGCTTGCACATGCGCAACCTAGCAGGCTGAGCATAGAGAGCTTGCTGAGTGGGCGGGCATTCTCCCTGTCCCATTTTAAGTTGGAAGGCTAACAGCTTCCAAACTCCCGTCAAAGTTGGACCGTGGTGGTCACAACTTTCGAAGCCGTGCTCTTGGAGATGCTGGGTTGCATCTAGTTCACATGCACCATGATTCATATTCATATCATACTGTGTTTTGGTGACTTCCTTGGCACGCAATGAAAATCACATACCATGAAGTTAGCAGCCTACCATCATGACACGCAATGTGCCCATGATCCGATGACAGATGTGATTGCTGCTGCTGCTGCTGCTG